GATACTTAGGTGAACTGAGTGCAAACACTCATAATTTGTACGAAGAGATACCATGTCTCGGAGTTCTGAGCGAAGCCGTACAGCATATAATCAATAACGAGCCACCGGGACCCTATGAATCCAGTCTAAGTACTGAAGAGCTCGTAGTTAATCATAACCTATTGGGTTATAAGAACCTAAGAGCTAGAATGCCAGAAGAGATCAAAGTCATCGATCTCACCGATGAAGAGCCCAAGCTCACAATAGAGCAGTTTAGACTCAGGTTTATTGATCAGCTTTCCAAAGTACGTGAAGTGCCCGAGGATGCTTTTAGTATAGGTCCAGATCTCGTAGATTTTGAGGCCCTGCGACAATTTTTAATTCGAGCTAAATGACATCGTATTTTGGTATGTTTCCGAGTCCGAATATCCCTTGGCCGTCCCCATTCAAATCCTACTAAAATTATATCCTCGCTCCACTATTTAGTTCATAGAAATCCCATGACCCTTTATACACACACACATTCATATACTCACTCACGCATATATTATATTTAACTATAGAACATAACTGCGTTTTTCATGTATAAATATTTTATTTAATTTAATCAATTAGTTCTCTACTAATGAATATTTGCATTTAATAAATTGAATAAACCCCTCTCGTTCCTTTCCAACACCAATAATCGCACAAGGTCCCATTCTATGCAAAAGAGATTTAATTTTCTTGCTAAAAAGGGACCACCGAGTGAACGGGTTCTAAATAAAGTAAAAGTGACTCTTCCGGTCATTGACTTATTTCGATAACGCAGTTATGTTCTATAGTTAAATATAATATATGTGTGAGTGAGTATATGAATGTGTGTGTGTATAAAGGGTCATGGGATTTCTATGAACTGAATAGTGGAGCGAGGATATAATTTTAGTAGGATTTAAATGAGGACGGCCAAGGGATATCCTTCTAGGTTCGCTCGGTTCGAACAAACGCACCGGTCAGCGTTATTCGAGAAAAATATCGTTACGCTCTTCCTTCGACTCTTCTTAATTATTGAGTCTGGACGTAACATTATCGTTATATATAATTTTAGTACTTTCGGTCGCAGTGCGAAACCGTACTACGACAATACAACGATACTTGCTTTTCTCGGGCGTGAATTCTCTCATTGGCTAAATATTATGTATTATGAAAATTCGCGCGATTTTAACCCTATATATAAATTTAAAAGCCGCCGCGGGTTCTCGTAATTTTGTGCCACATGCAATGTAGGCTTTCGGAACGATAGAAGTAACGGTCACCTGTGCTCAAATAAATGTTCGCGTTGTTTTGCCGCGCCGGCGTGCGATCATTACGACGCGCGAATAGTAAAATGCGACACATGCAATCGGACGTTTTTCGGTGCTTCGTGTTTCGAGCGTCATTATAGGAAAAATCTTATGTCGGTAAATCGCTCGCAAGTGTTTGTAGCGTCATACGATTTTGCGATGAATGTGGTTGTATATTAAAGCAAAAGCAAAATACGAATGCGGCGTTTCTTACTGTAGATTATGCCATTAGGCGCAATCTCGAAATCATTATGTTATATGAGATCTCTTCGCAACGACGTTAATTCTTCTGCCGAGCCGTCGTCATCACCACACCCTCCGGAAGTAGAAGCGACGTTGGCGACAGTAGATGTATCCGTCGAGGAGAAAGAAAGCACAATTGATAATGAGGAAGCGTGCAAATCCGCATATAAAGGCAGAAAGGGACGCGTAGCATTCGTGTTTTATGATTTTGAAACACGGTATGACAAAAGACGATCGAAGGTACGTCCGTAAAAAAACACATCCCGACACTTTGCGTTGCGTATCAAATTTGCGCAACGTGCGCGCAAAACAATGATATGTCCGTGTGTTGTCGCTGGTGCAGAGTATGAGAGTTTGTATTTCGTAATAATCCAGTGAAACCTTTTTTCGATTTCGCAACGTGAAGGACGAAAAATTTCAAACAGATAATATGCATAGCACATAATGCGAAAGCGTTCGACGCTCAATTTTGAAATGTAAAAATCGCGTCAATCTCGCGCTGAAAGTGATTTTGAACGGAACGAAAATCGTCGTATTGACAGTTGAACATACAAAGTTCATCGATAGCTTGAATTATATGCCAATGTGATTAGCCGATTTACCGAAGGCTTTCGAGCTAAAGAATACAGCAATTAATGGCATTTTTCCGCATTTATTTAAAACTAAATCCGTATGGATTATAATTTTGACACCGTCAAAGGTCTCGTACGCTGTACGGTACTTTTACCGCGCGATTTATTTTATCCGGTACTTCCGTATTGCGCGCACGAAAAATTATTATTCGCTTTGTGTCATAGATGCTGCAAAACATTTTCACAGATGGCGTACGCACGAGTCTAGCGAACGCGATTTCGAGGGTACGTGGGTGATCTGCGAATTACGCAAGGCCCTCAAAAAAAGTTACCTCGTGTCTAAAGTAAATAAAATTTGGCAATATAAAATTACTCAATATAATCGCAAAACTCAGCAAGGTGGATAGTTCGCTGAATATATAAACTCATTTCTACAACTTAAACAGGAGGCAAGTGGACAGCCTGATGAATACAAGAACAATGATGCTAAAAAGCAATACCTGCGAGAGTACGAGAAAACCGAAGGTATTGCTCTCGATAAGCGTAACATCTTGCGAAATCCCGGTTTACGCTCAGTCGCAAAGCTTTGCTTGAATTCGTTCTAGGAAAAATTCCGCCAACGATCCAATTTGCCAAATACCGAAATTGTTAAGACACATCAGCGTTTTATATTATTATTAACTGTTACAAGGATAAACAGTAAAAGAATCTTTTCTGTTAATAATAACTTTTATTTAGTAATAGTGTTTTATCTTAATCGACCGAGATCTACGACTGCGAGAGTATATAATAAACGCAAGGTGCGCACGCATGTCTTCTTCTCAATCGAATTCTTCCGAGTACGACGGAAATCGCCAAGTACGACAAACATATCCTTCTTACTCTAACACTCCCCCTGTTTTAGTACTCTTAGCGATTTCTTTGAGACTAATCTCATTACATAGAAATTTGAATCGATCTCGAGGTAACGCTTTTGTAAAAATATCGGCGCGTTGAAGTTTGCTTGGCATATAGTTTACTATAATTTCGCACGCTTCTATCTTTTTCCTTATAAAGTGATAACGGATATCAATATGCTTCATTCGTTTATGGAACTCTGGATTCTTAGTTAACCGAATTTTGATTATCTACAAGTAGATTAGTTGGGTATTCACATTGATATCCGAGTTCAATCAATAATTTTCTAAGCCAGATTGCTTCTTTGGTAGCTGTTGCCGCTGCAACATATTCATTTCTGACGCTGAGATGACCACGTAACTAATCCATTTGCAAAATTAAACGCATAGCCAGTTATTGATCTTCTAGTTTCTGTATCATTTGCATAGTCGGCCTCTGAAAAACCAATTGAGTTGAGATTCGCTCCCCCCCTCCCCCACTCTTATAGGAATAAGGATATTCTATTCCTATCAAATAACGATAAATTCTCTTTACGGCTTGCCAGTGTCTATTGTTGTGACTATTTAGATACTTGCTTACATTGCTCACAGCGAACATAATATCTGGATGGGATACACTTGCTAGAAACATTAATGAGCCGACAGTCTCTCGGTATGATACAATAATCTAAGGCTCCTCGTTGTGCTCAACAGGACTCAGTATTACGTGGGGATCGGCGGGTATACTGATTGACTTAGCTTCTATCATATGGAACTTACAAATTATTTTACTTAGATAGGTTCTTTGGTGTAGAAGTATTGACTTATTTGCACAACTTCGCTCTATTTATACTCCTAAAAACTATTTGTATTTCCTAGTGTGTAAGATTAAAAGTCTCTTTGAATGATTTTATAACAGAACTTAAAACTACCTTAGACTTAGCCGCTATTAGTCCATCGTTTACAAATAGTGCGAGGTAGACACTTGTTTTTGTCAACAATATCTTTGAAGAGACTTTTCACTCTCGCATTCATATAGATTAAATTGTTTCAAGAATTTGTTGAATTTTTTATTCTATCAGCGTGGAGCTTGTTTCAGCCCACAAGGCCTTTTGTAACTTACACACAACTCCACTATTGTTATCTCCGTTGTGTAATTCTTCTGGAATCTCCATATGGATTTCTTCTTGTAGTTCACCATATAGGAATGCCGTCCGTACGTCGAATTGGATAAGCTCCAGGTCTTCTTTCGCCACAATTGCTAAGGAAACTCTCAGGGAGGCATATCGAATGACTGGTGCGAAGGTTCGTAATAATCTAGTCCTTGCTGTTGCAGAAAACCTCTTGCACAGAGGCGTGCTTTGTAATGGGTGATTTTTCCCGCTATATTTTGATAGACCTTAAGAACCCATTTTGAGTCTTTTGTCTTGTGGCTTGCCATCCTGGGTACGATTTCTCAGGTTTTATTTCGTTTATGTTGTCGAGCTTTTCATTTATAGCCTTGATCCACATTGCTGCATCAGGACGACTAACTGCTTCCTGAAATATAGTTGGAAGATCATATTCTGTAATATTCACGTCATACTTAGATGGTGGACGGATTGTATTTCGATCTCGAAGAGATTATTATTCTGAAGCTCCTTGTCTTGAGGCTGAATTCTTTCTTCTTACTGCGCAACTTCTGGTATTTCTTCTTCTGCTTCTTCCGGTTCTCTGTTTGCTTCTGACTCGTCTCGTTGAATTTCTGCTCCTTAATTATTTGCCAAGATCCTCAGTTCACGATCATTAAGTGATGTTCTTACATCACCTAATGATCGTGATCGTTACATGATCTTCAGGTAAAATGTTTTTACATGAAAGCGTTTCATTAAATACGACATTTCTAGAAACTGGTACACGTTTAGTTTTAGGATCATATAAGCGATAATTTGAGGATTCTGCCTGATATCCTACTAGTAGCATTTTCTTCACTTTTGCAATTTCTTCCGAAACTGCTTTTCTAAATGTACGTAGGCTGCAGATCCAAAAACTCGTAGATAAGATTAGGTTTCTTTCCTATCCACATTTCATAAGGTGTAGTACTCACATCAATACTCGAAGTAGTCCGGTTGAAAACATGAACTGCTATACTGACTATTTCTGCCCAAAGTGATAATGGTTGGTTCTTCGCATGGATCATTGTTCGTGCGCTTTCTATGATGTTATCTCTTTCTGCCTTGCCATTTTGTTCCGGCGTGTGGGATGCTATCGTCTCCAAACAGATTCTTCAGGATACCATATACTTTAGCATTGCTCTGTTGACGTATTTTCTCCCATTATCTATGCGGAGTATTTTCATTAATTAATTAAATTTGTTTGAAATTAGTCTCTCGAATTGTATAAATACCTAGGCACGTCTGACTTATGTTTCATGACGTATATGTGTCAAAAACCTGAACGTTCATCCTTTAAATTTATAAAGAATCTTGCTCCTCCAAGTGATTCCTTTGAGAATGGTCCAACTACATCTGAATGAAAATATTCCCTAGGTTGTTTATCTATCTTGTTTACATTTGGCTTAAAACTGAGTCGATGTGACTTGCCTATCTGACATGCTTTGCAGACGAAATTTTTTAGATCTGTTATTTTCATACCTTGTACAGCTCCGTTTTTTGCCATTTGCCTCAGTGTATCCTTATTGACATGTCCCATACGTTCATGCCATAATTTCAGGTTATTAGTTGCTACATTGATTTCATCGGATTCCTATTTCATTTTTACGCGGAAAAACATTCGATAAATGTCGTTCTTTTATTTCACGCCTTATACGCCGAATACAGCACCCTCGCGTAAAATTGACACTGTTCTTTGAAGAGTACTTCGAACTCTTTTGATGTGCACATACCGACCAAAAATAAATTTTTGCATAACTTCGGTACGTAAAGGACGTTATCAATTCGCGATTCACACCACGTATCACCGACCAGTTTATCAATAAAGATTGTTCCAGAGCCAAGCACCTCGCAAACTCCATTGTTACCTAGCAATACTGATTCTCCGCTGCTAGGGTAAAACTCATTAAACCAGTCTCGACGATGGGTAATATGACGTGAAGCCCCGCTGTCGGTAATCCAGCTGTTTTTCATATTTATGTCCATTAGCTTTTTAGTTTAATTTTCTCCCACCTCGTTGCGCGATGTTACCGCCATACTTATTGTTATCATGCGAAATATCCCTTTTTCTTGCAATAGTAGCATTCCACATCAGTTTTATTTTTCTGAGTTGACTAGTTATCGTTTAGGCAGTTTTTTATATATCTTTGTGATTTTTGTTTCCTTTCGAGAGACATGGTAGCCAAGGCATTGGTGGCCTTATCTTCAGCCGTTAGCCGACTCTCTTTCTTGATAAGCCTTTCTTGCAAGTTGATGATCGTCTGGTTTCTTAGCTCCACGCTGTCCCATGCAGTCTTGAGAACGTTGTATTTCGGGGGCAAACTTGCCAGAATCTTCGCCATCACGGCGACATCCGAATAATTTCACCCACATCACGTAATTGTGTGACCATATTTTGCACTTTGGCCACGTGTTGCACGACCAAGTCACTGGTCTCCATCCGATACTCATGAAATCTCTGCGTTAAAATTAATTTATTTGTTTCCGACTTTTTATGAATAGAGCTTAGTTTCGTTCACATTTCTGCGGCTGTTGTGCAGGTCAGAAGACACTCGAGCTAAGCGGATTCCACCGATGACGAGATGAGGAACATTCCTTTTGCATTATCTTTAATCCATATCTTTGCCGCTGCTGAGGCCGCACCCACTGGCATTGGTGTCCGACTTATTGCTATATCGTGAATACCAAATATAACAAATACCTGGATTTGGAACTTTCAGGTTTGAAAGTTCTTTCCATCCAGTTTTGTTACATGTTTTGTAGAAATCTCTTCCGCCATATTCACCGTGTGACAGTCCAGCACACGTTCAGAAACAAAGTTCATCGTACAAGAATGGCGATACCACGTGTACCAAAAATTCCTGATATTTCTTCGCGGAATTTTTTCGATCGATACTTTTTCAGACAATTTACGTTGCAGGTAAAGGGTCCTAGGCCCATAACCTGTTACAAGGATCAACAAAAATATTTTCTGTTAATAATAACTTTTATTTAGTAAGAGTGTCTTATCTTAATCGACCAAGATCTACGACTGCGAGAGTATATAATAAACGCAAAGTGCGCACGCATGTCTTCTTATCTGCCGGATTCTTCCGAATAGCGACGGAAATCACCGAGTACGACAAACATGTCCCTCTAACACTAACAAGTCCCGAGCACGAGATAACTGATAAATCACCTGTAAACGACGAGGTAATGTATGTTTCGTGGCGATTGCGACATGAGGCTGTCGTATCCTCACCAATAACCAATGTCGTGATAGCCGCATACACGACTGCACAGGCGCGACTAAAATTGTATAAATATCTGGAGCATTTAGATCGTCGTGTATTATATTACGATACCGATTCATGCATTTATGTGAGCACTGGTGAACCAAATAAATATGAACCGCGCACTGGTAATTTTCTAGGCAATATTACCGATCAACTTGAGAGCTACGGTCGTGATAGTTACATCGAAGAATTCGTGTCCGGTGGCCCAAAATTTTACGCCTACATTACGAACACCCGACAGAGCTATACACGAAACTTGTAAAGTTAAAAGTATACCTCTCAATTACGAGAACTCGCGGTGTGTTAATTTTAATAGTATTAAAAAATTACTATTAGCGCGAGAAAAAAAACGAAAAAACGAAGATAACAAAAAAAATGAGACAACGATAAATCTGCGTTTTAACGCCATTCGCCATACTGCGTTTCATGAAATTGTAACACAAGACGAGACGAAAATATGCGCACTAGTATTGGTGAAACGTAGATTTATCGATAACAGATATTCATTCCCTTATGGATATTTATTATAAAAATAATATAATATTCTTTTGTTACGTCCTGTGGACTCCACGATTCTTTTCTTTCTCACGACCGGAGCGGAGTTTGTTCTTACAATTAGATAAATAAAAATTGCAGGAAATAATCCGGGCGGCACGTATGATGAAATCGCAAACGTGCCGCCACAGCCGGATCGGGAAGGTCTAACAAATATTATAAATTATTAAGACATGAAGACGGGGCGAAAAGTGGCAAAAGCGAGAAAAATATATATTTTTATATCCATAAAACATTCACACCTCCATCTTGTACTCAAAATAATCCCGGGAATTCACAATTAAAAAGATAAAAAAGGATAAAACTTACACACAACATAAAGACAACTCAGATGAAGATGAAGAGATTTTAAACGATAATGAAGAGGATATGGAAAACATCGAAGATGATTACAAACATCCTGAAGGATGCAGAAGTATTTCAGTTGCAACAAAAACTTGGAAACGAGAAAAACTAGGCATTTTTGTGTAAAATTTGCATTGGAAGTAAAATTATTCATGCTAGCAGAACTTTCACTTCAAATTTAAGAAAACATATAAGTGTAAGTTTTTACATAAATTTTTTATTAAAAAATTATTTTTAGTATGTAAGGTTATTTTTGATTCCTATGGTTTATTGTATTTCTATTAAATTCAATTTTTTATATAATTGTTATTTTAGTAATTTTAAAAAATAAATATGAATTGACAATTGTGATAATGAATAAGCAAATAATAATAATATAATGCGAATACTTATTTAGTCAGCTTTTTTAATTTTTAAAGCCACAATCTCCACTTGATTCCTCTCGACCAATAGAGCCAAACGCGATGTTATTGCGACAATTATGAAGGAAAGAACATTTTTGGAAAGGAATTTGAATCCTATGGTTGGGATCTCAAAAATTCCCCCTGGGGGGTGGGGGGGTATAAACATTGAGAAAAGTATTTATTCGTAAGTGTCTGAATAGCTCAGTTGGAAGAGCAGTCGCCCGGCAAGCGGAAGGTCTCGGGTTCGATTCCCGATTCAGCCGACTTTCGGACCAATATTTTTCTCGCCTATTTCTTTACAGGGGATGTTAAGAGAAGGAACAGGGGGAATTTTTGAGATCCCAACCATAGGATTCAAATTCCTTTCCAAAAATGTTCTCTTTCCTTCATAATTGTCGCAATAACATCGCGTTTGGCTCTATTGGTCGAGAGGAATCAAGTGGAGATTGTGGCTTTAATAATAATATGTTTAGTGTGGAATGTTGATATTTGTATTTTTACACTCAAATTTTTTTTATTTAAATGAATCGAATCTATGCAAATTATATACAATTTAAGGAATATAATAATCCATAAATCTTTTTATTTTAAAATAAAATTGAAAAAATAATTTATTTCCCTTTTTTACATAAAAATCAATATAAAGTATAATAAAATTAAAATTATATATATAAGTAAGCTATATTTTTAATTTTTTTAATTCAACTTTTAGATTTTCAAATATACAAAACATTCAACCTTGAAGCAAATATAATGTGCATAAAGCATAAAATAGGTATCAAAAGTTACAAGAGTATGATATGTTAAATATATGATTTGAACACAACGTTTTTTTCAATTTAAACAATTAGAATTATTTAAATTACGATTTTAAACATTTTTTTCAAATTTATAATTGTTTAAATTGAGAAAAGCATGTGTAAAAATTCTTTTAATGTAAATAAATATTAATACAATATTAGTACAAAACTTTTCTAAAAACTAATTTTTAATTTTTCTCATAAGATTTTTGGTAAAAATTCTTTTTACTTTTCAAAAAAATTTTACTATGTGTTATTATTTTTCTTTTTATTGTGAAATTATTTATGTACATATTTAAATTATGAAGACTATTGATATATTTTTATTATAATTATTTCTATCTTCTTTTTCCGTTTCTTACTCTTTCTGGTGTGTGTATGAAATTAATAGACAAAACAAAATTAATAGGCAAAACATCCACACTTGTTGCAAAACATAGATAAGGCAAAACTGAAATTATCAAATAAACATTCAAGTGAAGATCCTCCGAATGTTCCAAATAAATGTCAAAGATTGGAGAGATGGGGCTCTGGGAGCTCAATAGCTACTCAAAAAGCAGTAGATAAAGCGATACTGCGTTTTATTATTGAAGATATTCAACCTCTTTCTACTGTAGATAGTCCAGCATTCATTAATTTACTTAGAATTGGACTTCCTTCACATATCCGTATAATGTGCAGAAAAACATTAAGAAACAAAATTTGTGAAACATATCATAAAATGAAGGCTGCTCTTGAAAAAAAATTGACAGAAGTAGAAGTAGTTGCAACTACCGCAGATTTGTGGAGCAAAACAAAAAGGCTAGTAATATTACTTTATATTTATATTTTTTTATTGTAATTTTTTCAAATTTTATAAATTAAAATCTAAATTTATAGGAGTTATTTAGGCATAACTATTCATTGGGTGAATCCCGTAACTTTCGAGAGAGAATCAGCTGCATTGGCTTGCCGTAGGATGAAAGGCAGACATACATACGATGTTTTAGCTCGAGCAATTAACTCAGTCTTTTTCGAGTATCATATCCAAAATAAAGTGTGTTATATAACTACCGATAGTGGATCCAACTTTGTTAAAGCTTTTCGGTAAGAGTTTGTTTCAAAGTATATTGTGTATATTTTTTACATTTTATATTTTAATTTTGGATATTCAAACGAATGTGGCATTCTTCATCTCGCTTACATACTCCTTTTATCTTATTACATATAATACAAAAAATTAACTAAAACAATTAAAATTAAGGTATAATAGCATATATATAATTAAAGTATAATAAAAATAAAAAATATAATTAACAAAACATAATTGACATATAAAATATTTTAATATAATTCATGAGAGTAAAATTTTTAAATATTTTTTAGGAATTTTGTAAAAGACGAGGACGAAGATGAAACATCTACTGCTATAGAATTTCACGATTTAAGTGATCTTTTAATTAAAGATGATATAGAAGATATGGATGCAGAAGATTCGCTTATTCTTCCATCACATCATAGATGTGTGAGTCACAGTTTAAATCTTGTCGCTGTAAAAGATTCCGAGAAAGCTCTAGACAATGATGTTTCATATAAAAAACTATACAGATTGACATTTGCTAAATTAACCAAATTATGGAGTAAACAAAATCAATCTACACAAATATCTGACAAAATAAAAGAAATTTTAGGTGTCTATTTAAAAACTCCTGTTATTACCAGGTAAAAAAATTTATTATTGCGTTAGATTGTAAATATGAAACTTATTTGATCTTAGAATGATAATAGATGTACCTAATGATTTTTATCAGTGTCTAAAAATAATATTCGCAATGTTTATGTACAAGTCACGCAGTGGCTTATATGTATATCAATATTATTTTTCCATAGATATTCTCTCGACACAATAGTAAAAAACATTACAACTGTCTTCAATTTTATAACTAAATAAATTGCATATTTACTGTTTTTTAATTTTAATCATGTTTTCATTTAATTCTGCATATGAGTATATATAAATATTTTTTCAAATTATAAGTTTCTAATATACCTTCATCTTTTTTTATTTTGGTAGATGGAACTCTACTTTTGATTCTGTAATGCAACTAGCAACATTTTTAAAAAATGATCCCGACCAAATCAATCAATGCCTTGATCATTGTAATTTGCAAAGATTGACTGAAAATGAAATGAAATTCATAGAAGAATATTGTCAGGTATTTAGATAAATTTATAAGTTGTTAATATGAAACATAAATATATAAATATGTATATATAAAGATTGTAATATGTATTTAATAACTAATAACGTGTATCTTTTTCTCGTTTTATTTCGTTTAGGTAATGAAACCTTTAGCACAATCTTTAGATATATTGCAAAGCGAGAAAGGGATGTATATGGGATACTTATTACCGATCTTAAAAACATTAAAAGAAAAATTAGAGAAACTTAATAAAAATGAAATTACGCATTGCCAATCATTAATCGCAGCTCTTCAACAAGGTTTAAATAAAAGTAATTTGTTATTTTAATGAACATGTTATTTATTATTTTTAAAAAACAATATTCATTGATTCTGACTTCTGACTGTATAATTTTAGATTTTCCTCATTGTTTGAAAAAAAAGAACTTATTATTGCAAGTTGTTTGCATCGCAAATTTAAATTAAATTGGATACATGGAGAAGAAAAAAAACTCGCTAAAACTTATTTAGAAGACCTATTAGGAATTCGTTCCACTGAGAGTTCTCCAAACGATGAAAATCTCAACAACGATGACTTTTTTGCTTTTGACCAGCAAACAAAAGAAGTCGAGTCTACACAAGAAGAACTGTACCGATTCTTGAAATCAAGTAATTGCAATGTTAATATATTAAAAGATTACATTACAATTAAAAAACTTTTTATTAAATATAATACGGCACTTCCGAGCAGTGCATCTGTGGAACGAATGTTTAGCGTTGGTGGTTTAGTATTAACGCCTCAAAGAGCACATCTCAACGATGACACAATTGAGTATCAAATCCTCTTAAAAATTAATAAAAATTTTTATTAAAATTTTAAATATTAAATCGTTAATAAATTATAACATATTGGGTCTGTTTTTTGTTCCTGAACTGCTGCACTAGTTCAGAGGTTGTCCTTTTCTTTCCAATGTCGAGCAAAAAAGATAACCTCTGAACTAGTGCAGCAGTTCAGGAACAAAAACAGATCCTTGTATCAATTTATATTAACAAGAATTATAATAAAAAAAAGTGTCAAGATATGAATTTATACAGGGTGTCCCAAAGCACCCTTAACAACACTCGTGAGGTGATAGAGGAGATAGAGATGAACAAAAAAGTCTTATACTATTTTGCGATATTTGCAATTATAAGCGAAATATTTAATGTTAAAGTCAGGCAAATAAGAGCCCGCTAAGGAAAGCGCTCGAGCCGCTCAAACTATAACACGGCCCAGTGTACCCGTTATAACGAATTAAGTTATTTAAAGTTAAATAAGAGCCCTTAGCGGGCTCTTATTTGCCTGAATTTAACATTAAATATTTCGCTTATAATTGCAAATATCGCAAAATGGTATAAGACTTTTTTGTTCATCTTGATCTCCTCTATCACCTCACGAGCGTTGTTAAGGGTGCTTTGGGACACCCTGTATATATTAAAAAATGATCGTAAAAATTTAAAGTTTGAATGAGTAAATAATTTTCATATAAAATGCTAAAAAAAGCACGTATGAAATTGTATTGCTTTTATATGAATGGAATTTGTAAAGAAAGCTGTAATTTTTATGAATTAGAAAAAATACATTATAATTTTATTTTAGTTTATTTAGAAAATCTGCAATTCTTTTTACTAAGGCTATCTGATATTAAATGACGTAGGCGTATAAAATTATAAAGCATGAGAAAAAAGGAAGTTATTTAAAAGAGGATATAATTAAGGGAGTTAAATTTATTATGAGATTTTGTAGGTAATCTCAATAATCCAAAGCAACGTAAAATATTGTGCGTTTCTGTTTACTTTGACGAGACAATATAAAAGAAGGATACTAAACAAAGAAAGAGCTGTTTTCTAGTGTAGTTACTTAAATATTTCGCCGGGGCTACGATTTTCCGATTTCTCAATATCGATATTATAACGTCTGTAGCTAGATATATCTCTCATATCTGTCGTCCTAGGTCAGCCTAAAAATCTGGGACCACGATAACGATTTCAGTTTTCTTGTGATCTCGTTTTGATGCTTTATAAATCGACTTGCGGCATTTCGATATCGGCAAAATATAAGATTTTCACATAAGAAGTAAATATTCTCGGAATGATGAAAAAATTAATTTGTGAAAAGAAAGAGATCATTATAGCTTCATTATATACTATGTGTATATACAATATAAATAGAAACTCTATAATGCTCTCGAAACGTTAAAGACTTTTATAATTTTAATTCTTTTAATAAGTAATAATGTATAATTATAATAAATAACTATATATAATAAAAATGTATTTAGAGAACATATTTATATGTATATGATTTCATTCTTTTACCTTTAAATTTCTTTTATTAAGTATAGATCTGATATTTTATTTTCATCGCAAGAAAGTAACTACAAAGTAACGACTCGTTACTTTTTAAGTAACTGTAACTGTAACGCGTTACTTTTCAGGATTGGTAACTTTTAACTGTAACTAGTTACTTTTTAATGAAAAAAACTGTAACTGTAACTAATTACTTTTATAAAGTAACTTTCCCAACCCTGTGCAAAACCATACAATCCAAATTTATTTTTTGAGAAATTTATTGTAGATATTAAAAAAATATTGGCAAATGAAGGGATAATTATTAAAGGAAACAAATTACCTATACGTCTTAGGTGTTTTATAGCTGATGCACCAGCTCGTGCTTTTATTTTTAATCATAAAAGTCACGTATCTTGTCAACCATGTTCTAAATGTAAAATTTCTGAAATACGATGTAAAGGGCGTTACATTTTCTGTGGTATTGATCATTCCTTGCGGACTGATGAGGAATATGTAAGAGGTTTAGATGAAGATCATCATAAAGATGGTACAAGTCCACTATCAATGTTACCTATAGGAATGGTTTCGCAAGTGCCTTTTGATTATATGCATTTGGTTTGTCTTGGAGTTATGAAAAAATTGTTATCTGCTTGGGTATGCGGGAAGTACTCACAGTTTTCAAAGTTACCTGCAAGATCTATCTCAATTATATCTTCACGGTTAGAAACACTTGCAGCATATTGTCCATCCGATTTTGCAAGGCGTCCCAAATCACTTAATATGTGCACAAAATTTAAAGCCACGGAATTTCGTCAATTTCTTCTGTATACAGGTCCAGTAGTAACCTATGGTATTTTTGATAAACATATGTACATGCATTTTTTATTCTTACATGCTGCCATTAAGATTTTAGTTTCTCCATCATTGTCAAAGACTTATTTAAATTTTGCAGATCTTGCATTAAAAAAATTTGTGGATAGATGCGTCAATTTTTATGGTCCAACATTTTATTCGTATAATATTCATGGTCTTCTTCACCTTGCCAATGATGTGCAACAATTAGGTCCTCTTGATACATTTTCTGCATTCCCATATGAAAATAATATGAAAATTTTTAGAAAATATTGTAGGAAAACCTGGTCTGCCTCTCCAACAAATGTCTAATAGATTTGCAGAGATAAAAAATCATGGCACAACTAAACCGCATAAGACAGAGTCTTCTATTCATGCATCTATGAAGCATAATGCAGGTCCTCTTCCATGTAATCTTACTTCAAATTGTGTTCAGTATCGTAAGATCAGATTTA